CCAGATGAGATTGCAAGCCAGGGTTGCAGGAGACACGGATCCATGGGCAGTAACACCCTGTAGATGGAGGCCAACGACCATCACTGGAGGGCTGTTCTCCGAATACTCTGCAGCCCTTTGAAATGTTTTTTAACTTTTGTATTCATGTGTTTTATTTTGTGCCTGTTCACCGCCCTGAGTCCTTTGGGAGTAGGGCGGTATACAAATTTAATAAAATGAATGAAAATGAAAATGAATGAAATGAAATCAGGAACTGAACAAATATGTAATTTGCAGGTATGATTGGAGAAAAATCTCTGAATTATCCAGACTTTTCCAATCAAATTGGAAGAGCTTGTTTAAACCATTTAACCAAGTTAAATGTCTCTGAATGAGAGTTTTCTTTTGTAGGAAGTTAGCACTCACCCCTCTCCTAGGAAAATGAGATATTTTAGGAAATATTAAAAGGGCAGAATATTTTCCCTAAAAGGGAGGCAGAAACTCAGCCTCCCCCCCACCCTTTGTCAATGGGCCATGAAAGCCTGGGCCTGTCTATTCAACATAAGAAAGATCTACCTCCTTCAGGCAGAGCCATAGTAGGAATTGCCCAAAGCCCTTTCATTATGTCATCACCCAGCAAGGCTCAACCAAGCTTGGGACTCAAAACACAACCTACAAAGTTACCCTTGCATGGCCCCATGCGAGTCTGACAACCAATCAGAATACAAGCTCAAATTCAAAGCCCAACAGAGGGTATAAATCTCTCTCTCTCTCTCTCTCTCACCCATGGGCCTTTTTGCCTAGGACCTCAAACCATGTGGTCCTGTCCACCATTAAACCATCTTTTCAAGCAACCTCCATGTTTCCAGTGTCTTTTTCCCCATTTGGAACTGAACCCAAGTGGACATTTCTTCCAACACTTTCTTTCTTTCTTTCTTTCTTTCTTTCTTTCTTTCTTTCTTTCTTTCTTTCTTTCTTTCTTTCTTTCTTTCTTTCTTTCTCTTTCTTTCTTTCTTTCTTTCTTTCTCTCTCTTTCTCTCTTTTTCTTTTTCTTTCTCTCTTTCTTTCTCTTTCTCTCTTTCTTTCCTCTCTCCCTCCCTCCCTCTCTTTCTTTCTCTCTTTCTCTTTTTCTTTCTCTTTCTTTCTTTCTCTTTCTTTTCCTTTTTTCTTTTTACAAATAACTCAAGGCAGCAAAGAAATCTAACACACCTTCTGCCTCCTATTTTCCCCACAACAACAACAACTGATCAATAGGGCTCCAAAACTGGCATTAACATGTTGAGATTCAAACTGGTTTCCCATTTTATGATGGAATCTGCAGACGGTGCTCAATTATAACCATTTGTTTAGTGATTTGTCTGAAGTTACGAGGGCACTGTAGAAAGTGACTTGTAAGCATTTTTAACAAACCACTTGGGGTAGTGAACAAGGACACTGGACTAGAAAGCAGGGAAGTGTGAATCCTTGTCCTGCTTTAGGCATAAAGCCAGCTGGGTGTCCTTGGGCCAGTCACTTTATCTCAACCTTAGGAAGGAGGCAATGGCAAACATCTGAAAAACAGCACCAAGAAAACTGCAGGGACTAGTCCACACAGTTGCCATGAGTCAAGATTAATTCAAAGGCATGCACACACAAACCACATTAATTATATGTCCCAATCACCCATTTTTCTCCGCCCAGTAAAAATAATTGATGGAACAAGCCCCCAAATTAAATGAGTACATGGAAGAAAGATTTCTATTTACCATTCCATTTTCACCGATATAAAACCAGGGTGATTGCCGAGCATTAAAAAAGCCAATTAGAGCAATGAATTTTTAAAAACACACATTTATAATAAAAATCCATAATTTAGAACAGGATAATGGATTTGAAGATAGGAAGAAGATTCTCCTAAATCAAACGCCTTTCATCCGCATTTAATTTTCAGTCAACAGAATATGCTCAAATGCTTAAATCATATTTTAGGCTTTGAGTTATGTGAAGGCAGAAAAAAGGAAAACTGGATTTTATGCTTTATTGTCTTCTGTTTCTTCCAGTGTGAAATTTTACTACGCAAACTACTAACAATTGGCATTAGAAAGCTTTATTATGATCAACCAATTTAGAAAATCCAATGTATATTTATTGCTCATTACTATCAGGTTACAATTAAATTAGCATGTGTATATTAAAGATTACCCAGGAAATAGGATGACTTATTTTTCAAGTGTAAATATAGAGGTTACTTGTACTGAAGAGTTTGAAGGTTTTTTTTTTTTTTTTAAATGAATTGAATTGAACTTTATTTGGCCAAGTGGGATTAGACACACAAAGAATTTGTCTCCAGTTCAGAGGCTCTCAGTGTACATACAAAGCTACAGAACCATCCCCATCAGTAGTGCGAATGAGTATGGAGCCTTCTTGGCTGCAGGATGTTTTCTGCCCATTTGCACTACTCAGGTGATTCTGAGGACACAGATAAACCTCCAAGTGGCCTCAATGACTCTCTAAAAAATGCAAATGATCAGCTGTCTGCAAGCAATATAAATCTTTCCATTCCCCATCATCCAGTCAGAGCTGAAGAAGCTTCTTGGATGAGAAACGAAACGTCCTCAAAGAAAACTGATCCGTTTGGGGATACACTGGTATAATTTTAAATTGTTTTTAATTGGGTTACTGATTTTAATTTTGTATTGTATTGTGATTTGTATTGAAGTTGTCATTTTGTAAGCCGCCTTGAGTCCCTAGGGAGAAAGGCGGCATATAAATCGCAATAAATAAATAAATAAAATAAAAACAAGAAAGTCCAGTTGCCTCTTGAAAAATCACCTTTGGGACAATTATCACCTGGATGACTGAGAATTTCCATAGACATCAAGGAGAGAAGCATGCCAATAACGCAGTGGGAAAGAGGGAGGAAATAACAAAAAGTGATATTTTGGATGGTTTCACCTCTGTGGTTTATCAACATGTAGATCAGTCCTTAAAAGGATTGAGGGAAGTGACAGTTATTTACCCTGTTTCCCCGAAAATAAGACCCAACTGGAAAATAAGGCTTAGCATGATTTTTCAGGATGCTTGCAATATAAGCCGTACCCCAAAAATAAGCCCCAGTTAAGATCGTCAGCAGACGGAGGTGTTTAGTATTGTATTTCTCCCTAAATAAGACCTAACCAGAAAATTAGCCATAATGTGTCTTTTGGAGCAAAAATTAATATAAGACCCAGTCTTAATTTGGAGGAAACACAGGTAGTTATGAAAAACATATTTCATATTTTCTCCTGGGAATCACACTGGCATTTTATTCTCACAACGCCAAAGTCAAGCAGGTTCCATGAATGATGGTGGACTTGAACTGGGTCTCCCTAGATATGATCCAAAATTTTTATTTAATAGCATTTTAGATTCATCATAGATGCCTTGCATTCAGATTTTGAGAATACTATGTAACTGCTGAGCTGTTCAGCACCATCGTGACACAATCAGGGAATTTGAGCCATTTGAAGGCTGTTTCCTAGTGCAAAGGTGGGCTGCTGGGGGTTCATAGGGGTTCAACCTCTAGCTAAGATTATGTGCAGTTCAGAGAACCCCCAAATCCCACTCCTGGCTGGCCCCACACACCCTGTCCCGCCCCTCCCCTCCCAGGACTCCCCATAGGGCCCGTTTTGGATGCAGGTAAGTGCAGGGCGTGCATGGAGGCTCGAGGAGGGAGAAAAATGGGCCTACTGGAAATTCAGGAAGACTGGAAACGGGCCCATTTCTGGCCTCCAGAGGGCCTCCAGAGCCTGGCGAGGCTGTTTTCACCCTCCCAGAGGCTTGAGGAAAGCCTCCGGAGCCCGGGGAGGGCAAAAACACCCACCCTGCCATGGTGCAGGAGGGTGAGTAGGCCACACTCATCATGGCCACGCCCACCCAGCAACTGGGCAGAGAACCCCTTGCTAAAATTTTTGAAGCCCACCCCCTGAGCTACCCCCAGGAATACGACTAATCCCGGACCTCCGTACTTTCCGTCGAGCTTTGAAGACCTTCCTATTTCAGCAAGCCGGGCTGGCTTAAAATTTTAATGGGTTATTTTATGGGCAAAGGGTTTTAAATTTTTGGGAAGCCAATTTGATTTAATTCTGTTTTAATTCATCTTAATTTTTATATTGTATGTATTTTAATCTTGGCTGTTCACCCCCCTGAGTCCTTCGGGAGAAGGGCGGTATACAAATTTAATAAACCTAACCTAACCTAACCTAACCTCTCCTAGTGTATATGTTTTGGTTTGATTTTTAAAAAAAATTTGGCCCTCAATATTTTACTTCTATAAGTGCCATGAAATGTGGGTGCTGATTTTCACAAATTCTGACTTAAAAACCAATTTTTAAACCACTAGGGAGCAGCTGTACTTTCATGACTATGAAACTGATTCCCTTTTACTGTGATTTTATTGAATTACTGAACTTTGACGGTCTGGTTTAGTGATTAAGGCACCAGACTAGAAACTAGGAAACTGTGAGTTCTAGTTCCATCTTAGTCATAAAAGTTGGCTGGGTGACCTTGAGCCAATCACCAGGAGACTGTGAGGTCTAGTCCCTCTTTAGGTATGAAAGCCAGTTGGGTGACTTTGGGCCAATCACCAGAGACTGTGATGTCTAGTCCTGCCTTAGGCATGAAAGTCAGTTGAGTGATGTTGGGCCAATCAGCAGGAGACTGAGTTGTTTTCCCGCTTTAGGCATGAAAGCCTACTGGGTGACTTTGCGCCCAGACTAGGAGATGTGAGTTCTAGTCCTACTTTAGGTATGAAAGTCACCTGAGTGACTTTGGGCCCAGTCACTCTCTCTCTGCATCAACCCACCTCACAAGGTTGTTGTGGGGAACATAGGAGGAGGAAAGAGTATTATGTATGTTCACTGCCTTGAGTTACTTATGAAGCGATGAGAGCAGAATAAAAAAATTGAATTCAATGAATAAATAAATAAATAAAAATGCTGTATGCATGTATAAAGACCCTTGGCTTCAGACCATAGGCATTCATGGACTGGTGCAACACTTACTTAGTAAAATGATGATACATATCAAGATGGCAATAATGGCTCCGGTGCCCAGCCCAGCTGCAGCGACAGCTCCTATAGTGGTACAATCTCCATTCTCGTCACATGGACACACCTTGACCTTAATGATGGACATGTTAAACAGAGGAGGGTTGCCGGAATCTGTTACAATGATTGGAACATCATATACACCGGCTTCCAAATACATTATTCGCAAGCCGAGTTGAGCATAATCACCTGTGGGGAACAAAATGGAGGAAGCCATGAAGAACAAGCCCCTGTGGAAAAATCTACTTTTTCTGAATATCTACTGATCTGGAGAATCTACTCCTTATGAGTTACTCCCCCCCCTCAAATACAGGCAGTCCTTGATTTACAATCATTTGTTCAGCGGCTGTTTGAAGTTACAACAGGACTGAAAAAAAGCAACTTGTGGCCGTTTTTCCCCCTTTGACCATTGCAACATTCCCATGGTCATGTGATCAAAATCCAGCTGCTTGGCAACTGGCATGTATTTATGATGGTTGCAGTGTCCCAGGGTCACGTGATCACCTTTTGCGACCCTTCCGACGAGCAAAGTCAACGGGGGAAGGTTCCCTTAATGCAGATTCACTTGACAACCCTGTTGCTAGCTTAGCAACGGCAGTGATTCACTTAACCACCGTAGAAAGGCAGGTCGCAAAATGGGGCAAAACACCACTCATCAACTGCCTTGCTTCATGACAGAAGTTTTGGGCTCAGTTATGGTCGTAAGACGAGGATTACCTGTAGGCCCATGTGTCACCTAGTCCTAGGCTGAACTCTGGGCAGGCTCTGATAAGCCATAAAGAGGGTAATTATGATCATTTCGACAGCTCCCCAAATAGTCACCTTCCTATTTCCCAAGCATGAAAGCTGCCTCTATGGTAAATTAGAAAAGGAGGGTGACTTTTAAGCAATTATGGGCAGAGGTTGATCATTGATCCTGATTGTGGCTTATGACAATAAAAATGGAACATAAGGAAGGCCGATAATAGCTTTTCCTCCTGGGCAATTTACAAATGATTTATCCCAACTTTCTCGTGATAGTCCTCTGTAATTACAAGCTGCATTAAGGCAGGGAAGCCAACAACCAACAATTCAGCTTAAAGCCCAATCCAGGCAATTTCTCATGAACTCTCTTGCTTAGAAATGTCATCCTGAACGTGGCTCCCTTTAAAAAAAAAAAGGAAAAAAAAAAAAAAAACACCGAAGACGGCACAAAATGTTTTAAAGTCTGAAGGCCCACCGTGCCAAGCTACGAACAACGCCAGGTGTTGCCCGCTCGGTTTACCATTTAGACGCGTAATGGTCCAGTTCTTCCTAATGGCAGATGGCACGCTCGGCAGCTCAAAGACGAAGGGGCCAACATTTGGATCGATGTCAGCATCCGCGGCTGTGATGTTGATGACATTCAGATTTGGCCTCTCACATATCTGGGCCTCCTTTGGCTGAAGGTCAGGGGCATTATCGTTGATGTCAATTAGGTAGATCTGGAGTGTGCCCGTGCCACTGGCTGGAGGGATACCTAGACAGGGAGAAAGGACCATGTGAATGAAGAACACAAAGAGTTGCAGGCGGAGAGCTTGCTCAGATCCTTCCATGCCATCTTGTAAAGCCACTGCACTGTGGAAAAGACAGAATAGAATAGAATAGAATAGAATAGAATAGAATAGAATAGAATAGAACAGAACAGAATTTTTTTGGCCAAGTGTGATTGAACACACAAGGAATTTATCTTTGGTGCATATGCTCTCAGTGTACATAAAAGAAAAGATATGTTCATCAAGAATCATCAAGAATATAGTTCATCAAGAATATAGTACAGTGGTCTACGCACCCTGTTATTAATACAGCTGCCTGCAATTTACTTCTGGTTCCAATCTCTCCAAGGCTCAAGGTTGACTCAGCCTTCCATCCTTTCTAAGGTAGGTGAAATGAGGACCCAGTTTGTGGGGGCAATAAGCTGACTTTGTATAAGTATACAAAAGTATGAAGGCTATTGCTTAACGCATTGTAAGCCGCCCTGAGTCTCCGGAGAAGGGCGGCATATAAATCAAATTAAAAAAAAAGAATCATAAGGTACAACACTTAATGATAGGCATAGGGTACAAATAAGCAATCAGGAAACAATATCAATATAAATTGTAAGGATACCAGCAACAAGGTTACAGTCATACAGTCATACAGTCATAAGTGGGAGGAGATGGGTGATGGGGACGATGAGAAGATGAGAAGATTAATAGTAATGCAGACTTAGTGAATAGTTTGACAGTGTTGAGGGAATTATTTGTTTAGCAGGGTGATGGCATTTGTGAAAAAACTGTCCTTGTGTCTAGTTGTTCCGGTGTGCGATGCTCTGTAGCGTCGTTTTGAGGGTAGGAGTTGAAACAGTTTATGTCCAGGATGAGAGGGGTCTGTAAATATTTTCACAGCTCTCTTTTTGACTCGTGCAGTATACAGGTCCTCATTGGAAGGCAGGTTGGTAGCCATTGTTTTTTCTGCAGTTCTAATTATCCTCTGAAGTCTGTGTCTGTCTTGTTGGGTTGCAGAGCCAAACGAGACAGTTATAGAGGTGCAGATGACAGACTCAATAATTCCTCTGTAGAACTGGATCAGCAGCTCCTTGGGCAGTTTGAGCTTTCTGAGTTGGCGCAGAAAGAACATTCTCTGTTGTGCTTTTTTGATGACGTTTTTGATGTTAGCTGTCCATTTTAGATCTTGCGTTATGGTAGAATCTAGAAATTTGAAGGCTAATCACAACAATTATGGGGTTGAGATACCACCTCCATGAGGAAACGGTAGAGCAAGACACAGCCAGTTGGGTCTAGAGGAGAAGGCACCAGGCTAGAAAGCAGATCATGAATTCTGGTCCCACCTTAGGCACAAAACCAGCTGGTGACCTTAGGCCAGTCACTCTCTCTCAGCCCTAAGAAGTGGGCAATAACAAATTACTTCTTTTGGGAAGCCGGTGTGGTCTAGTGGTGAAGGCATCATGCTAGAAGCCAGGAAGATGTGAGTTCTAGTCTGGCCTTAGGCATGAAAGCCAGCTGGGTTACTTTGGCCCAATCACCAAGAGACTGTGAGTTCTAATCCCGCCTTAGACATGGAATCAGCTGGGTAACTTTGGGCCAATTCACCAAGAGACTGTGAGTTCTAATCCCGCCTTAGACATGGAAGTCAACTGGGTGACTTTGGGCCAGTCCCTCTCTCTCAACTGAACTCACTTCAAAGGGCTGCTGTTATGGGGGAACTAGGAGGAGGTTTACTATGTACCTTGAGTTATTCATAAAAACAATAAAGGAAGGGATATAACTAAATAAAAAATGTTGAACTTCATTTTCACCTCCTATTTTCCAATCCAGATGGGAATGGACGAGACTCTATCTGTCCATCAATAGGGTAACTTTCCAGAAACTGAACAAACTGGATCAGGTTGGAATGAAGCTTACCCTGCACCCTGTGCTTCCAAGGGCACCCAAGGGTGCAAACACATACATATGTCAGACCTGGAAGCCATCTGTTACATCTGGGCTTTCAGCCTGCCACATATTCTTCTGTGGGAAAATAAGAGGGGGGATTGCATAGAGTATGGGTGTTATGTAATTAAAATAACATTCCTTTCTCAGAGAGTCAAGGACACATTGCCCTGGCACCTGGAGTTGGATGATTGGAGGTGTCTCCAGTTTGGATGGTGGATGGTTGGACCATGTGATGGACATGAGGGTGCTGGGCAGGGACTTGAACTTTCACTTGGGTGGGGAAAACCTGGAAATTTTCAGATTTCAGGGAGCCAAAATGGGGCATGTGGGGACTTCTGGAAGGGGAGGGGCGGGGAGGGGAGAGGTGGGGCCAGCCAACAATTTTACAACCGGTTCGACTGAAGTGGTGCGAACCGGTTGAATCCCACCACTGATCATTTCCCTCTAGTTAGGAGAAAGAGAGACCACATTGTCATTTTCCTTTCTTTGTGAACTGCAGAATGTTTTGTTTTGGATATTTTCACTGTTTCTTAAAACAGCTCAATTTTAGAACTCATGTTATGAACCCTTTCTTCAACCTTAAAAAAAAAAAAAAGCTTCCCGAATCTTGATGATTTCTTTCTTAACGTCTTTTTAAAAAGCTTTCTGACTTATGTCTCCTGTTTGTTTTTGCTGACTGAAGAATCTCTGAATCCCCGATGAACCTCGGTCTGTCCATTTCTTGTGGCTGTTATATTAGCCCTCCTAACCTCAGGTCTCATAAGTTTGTTTCAGCTTGCTGGCTTTTGAAATTTTCTCCAGTCTTTTTGCCTCAATCACGCTTTGGATTTGCTGCAAAGCAGAAAAATCCCACGGTTTTAATTGCATTTGCCCGAAGTTATCTGTAATGAGGATGTTTAGGTGAATGCTTGTCTTTCACAAAAGTCGAACGGAAATGAAAAACATTAAGATGAGTCCTCTAGAGTTATGCTTAGCTTGTCTTTCTAAATAACTACGCTGTGAGAAAGGGAACATGTAGCTGAACGTCTGTGGAGATGCTCATTCATTCAGGTTATCATTGTCCCAAAGGTGCTTTTTTCAAGAGGCAACTGGATTTTCTTTGTTTTTCCTTGAAGACGTTTTGCTTCTTATCCGAGGAGCTTCTTCAGTTCTGACTGAATGGTGGAGATCGGAAATCCTTCACAAATCCTTCCACTCCCCATCATCCAGTCATAACCGAAGAAGCTTCTTGGATGTGCCGAGGTGGCGCAGTGGTTAGAGTGCAGAACTGCAGCTACTTCAGCTGACTGCTAGTTCAGCAGATCAGCAGATCAAATCTTACCGGCTCAAGGTTGATTCAGCCTTCCATCCTTCCGAGGTGGGTAAAATGAGGACCCAGATTGTTGGGGGCAATATGCTAATGCTAATGCAACATGCTAATATGCAATATGCTATATGCTAACTTTGTAAACTGCTTAGAGAGGGCTGTAAAGCACTATGAAGTGGTATAGAAGTCTAACTAATAATAATAATAATGAGAAGCAAAAGGTTTTCAAGAAAAAAACAAAGTCCAGTTGCCTCTTGAAAAAGTACCTTTGGGACATTTGAGCTGGAAGTTGTTGTTGTTAGTTGCGAAGTCATGTCCGACCCATTGCGACCCCATGGACAACGTTCCTCCAGGCCTTCCTGTCCTCTACCATCCTCTGGAGTCCATTTAAGTTCACGCCGACTGCTTCAGTGACTCCATCCAGTCACCTCGTTCTCTGACGTCCCCTTCTTCTTTTGCCCTCAATCTTTTCCAGAATTAGGCTCTTCTCCAGTGAGTCCTTCCTTCTCATTAGGTGGCCAAAGTATTTGAGTTTCATCTTCAGGATCTGGCCTTCTAGTTTTCCTGCCTAACTAACACATTTTCTTCCAATACCAGTGTTAGGATATGGTTTGAGCCTAACAAGTTGTCCAGGCAATATATGTGTTCTGTGACTTTAATCTGAAAATGTATTATGTGACTTTAAAGTTTTACTGCTGATTCATTGTAATGCTGAGTCATGCTGTAATTAGTTGTGAACGTATTTAAGAAAAGTACTGTAACGTATTCAGTTGATGATAAGCTACCATAGTGTGTGGAGTTGCTATCCATTGTGCTATTATCGTTGGATGGATCTGCTACCATTGTGGTTTGTGAACCAGAGTGAGTTTGTTATTCTAACCAACTACTGTTTGTGTGGTAAGAAGATCTTTGTATTACTGGACTGATTTAACTGGCAAAGACTTGGATTGATTTAAAGACTATGAGATTGTTTTTTCACTATAAAGTAAACTTTTGATAAACCAGTTTGCACACCTCTTATTCATTGCTCTCAGCAACGTTTCTCTGTGCTCTACACTCTGCTGGTTGGTAACACAACAACAATATCCTTAACAACCAGAATGCCTTTTTATCAACCAAATTGGTGTAGGAGGGAGTTCTTTTCATCTTCTACACTCATAATGTTGAAGGTGGGGCATTGAGGGAGATTGGCAGGGAGAAAGGAGACAATAAATATTGCAAACAATTAAAGTTCTTCCCTTCAATAATAAAGCTCTAGGTTGGGTCCCACATGCATCGGTTTAATTCCAAGCATGAGTAACAAAGAGGTTTCCTAAATGTAATTTTCAATCCTTCTGGACTAATTCTTAGTAAAGAAGGAAAAGAAAAGAATAGGGTCAGATGAGAGCTAAACTTATGAAAAAAATATTGCAAGCTTTTGGTGCTAACAGGGACAAAGTCCAACCATGGAATCAAGAATCTGATGCTGTTAGGATTCCTTTAAATGATGTTACAAGTTAGTCCTCTCTGTACGTATGGGTGGTATTTCCAGAGGTGGGATTCAAAAATTTTAGCAACCGGTTCTCTGCCCGGTTGCTGGGTGGGTGTGACCATGGTGGGTGTGGCCTACATGGCCTCCTGCACCATGGCAGGGGAGAGGGTGTTTTCACCCTCCCCAAGTTCTGGAGATTTTCCCCGAGCCTCCAGGTGGGCGAAAATGGCCTCCCCTGGGCTCCAGAGGCCCTCCAGAGGCCGGAAATGGGTCCGTTTCTGAATTTCTGGAACTTCTGGGAGGCCTGTTTTTTGCCCTCCCCAGGCTCTGGAGGCTTTCTTTGAGCCTCCAGGAGGGCAAAAACAGCTTCCCCCATGCTGTGGAGGCCAGAAAAGGGCCCATTTCCAGATTTCCAGAACTTCTAGGAGGCCCATTTTTCACCCTCCCAGAGCCTCCGTGCAGGGGCTGCACTTACCTGGCATCCAAGATGGGCCGCGTGGAGACTCCTGGGAGGGGCTGGGTGGGGTGGGAGGGGCCAGCCAGTCCTTGCAACTACTGGTTCAGCGAACCAGATGTAAAATTAGCATCCAGTTCACCTGAACTGGTCCGAACCGGCTGAATCCCACCCCTATTATTTCCCAATCAGCAACAAGACCTCTTGATGGAAATAGTTTTCTTCTGAATGGCAATTCAGCCTAAATAAAAGGGTACGCTACTGGCAGGTAAGATGCTCTTTTTAAAATCAAGGCTTCCTTCCTCTTGGAGGTTAGAAATTCAAGGAGTTCATGGTAGTCAGCTTGAGAAGCTCTTAGAGAAGAAGTCTCCAAGGTGAGGCCCCAAGGCTTCCACATCCAGAAATGCCATCAAACCACACAGGTTAACATGAAACTAGCAAAGAGATACAACAATCATGAGGAGCATATACACTTATTCAGATCCAATTTGAGGGGGGGGGTCTTTCTCAACATACCATTGAAGCCAATTTCAGGTTGGACTGAAAAAAATAGCACAACTATAGGAGAAGAGCAGGCAGAGTTGGGAGGCAGAGTTAAACATGTTATCAGCTTAGAATCCTTATGTTGTCACAAATGATCCTGGTCCAGCTCTCCCCTTTGAATTCCATTGACCCTTATCTGGCGCTGATTCAGAAACGAGCTTAATCTGACTAGATTCTTGTGTATAGGCTTAAACAGTAAATCTTTCTGAACTGCAACTTAATGTATGGTCCTGATCCTTTGCACCTAACACAACCATTCTTTAGTGGCTTTGCCTAAATCTGGAGGGCCACATTCCTTCAGGAATAATTTGTTTTATTTCTTTACTCATTAAATTTACATGCTGCCCATCTCACCCTCCAAAGTGACTCTCCTTAAGGCGATAATGCATGCCAGTGCTGACCAAGGTCAAAGCAAATTTTGGGAGGGAGGGGTTAGGAAGATGTTGAGGAGGGCTATCTATATTGGATTTTCTTTATTAATTTATACTGTTAAAATCCAACTGCTTTTAAAATATGGTATTTAATTTTAGGGCTTCTGAAACATTTCTCCGCTGTTCTGTTCTCTATTTCTAGTGTTTGTTTTATTATTGATTTTGTTAGTAACCAGAACTCCATAGAGGCCCAGTGGGATATAAATATTAGAGATAGATAGTAAGAGCCAATGCAATCTTAAATTTCATTAACAGGGGGATACAATCAAGATCAAGGGAAGTACTAATACTAATAACTGGAGTACTGCATCCAGTTTTGGTCACCACACTATAAAAAAGATATTGAGACTCTAAAAAAAGTGCAGAAAAGAGCAGCCAGGATGATTAGAGGACTGGAAACTAAAACATATGAAGAACGGTTACATGAACTGGGTCTGGCTAGTCTAGTGAAGAGAAGGACCAGGGGAGACATGATAGCAGGGTTCCAATATTTGTGGGGCTGCAGAAAGGAAGGAGTCAAGCTACTTTCTAAAGCACCTGTAGGTCAGACAAGGAATAATGGATGGAAACTGAACAAGAAGACATTTAACCTGGAAATGAGGAGAAATTTTCTGACAGTGAGAACAAACAACCAATGGAACAGAAGTTGACTTCGGAAGTTGTGGGAGCTTCATCACTGGAGGTTTTCAAGAAGAGATTGGACTGCCATTTGTCAGAGATGGTGTAAGGTCTTCTGCTTGGGCGGAGGTTGGACTAGATGACCTACAAGGTCCCTTCCAACTCTGTTAATCTGTAATCTGTAAACTACTTAGGTGGAATATATCCGGGGGAAAGAAATACAGTAGCTATTTGAAGAAACCAGGTTTTGAAAGCAGATGGACTCTCTTTATGCGGATGCCTGTCAGACTTATTCCCCTGTAGCCTGCAGAGTGAGGTGAGGAAAACAACAGTGTCTTCAATACATTCAATGATTTAAAGGACACCGTAGGGCACTTTCAATATCTGATCTGCTTGTCAGTAAAGATGCCACTGGTGATTCTTAGCCCTGCCACAAAATTGAGTGAATTGTGTAGATTGTGACAAGGTTGCTTTAGGTCACTCGAAAGGTATAGCACCTCACTTTGATGTTTCTAATCTATACGGTGACAGCTTTCGTGTAATTCTTTCTCTTTTAACCTTAGATTGTTTTTGACTTCAAGATGGAGCCTCTCCCCGTTCTGTCCTCAGACGTGTCTCTTACTTGGTAATACTGGTAGTCTTCGACTTATGACCACAATTGAGCCCAAAATTTCTGTTGTTAGGTAGTGAGGCCTTTGTTAAGTCAGTTTTTGCTCCATTTTATGACCTTTCTTGCCGCCGTTGTTAAGTGAATCCCAGCAGTGGATAAGTTAGTGGCCTGGTTGTTAAGTGAATCTGGCTTCTCCATTGACTTTCCTTGTCAAAAGGTGGCAAAAGGGGATCACATGACCTTGGGACACAGCAATGGTCATAAGTATGAACTAGGAGCCAAGCATCTGAATTTTGATCACATGATCATGGGGATGCTTCGGAGGTCATAACTGTGAAAAATGGTCATAAGTCATTTTTTCAGCGCCGTTGTAACTTTGAATGGTCATTTAAATAAACTGTTGTAAATTGAGGACTACCTGTATAAGATCAGGAACATACAGGAAGTCCTACCTTTCTCCTGCCTTTTCTGTCAGCTTCTCCACTCACCCCAAGATGAGCCTGACTAGGTGGCTCAGTGGCTAAGACACTGAGCTTGTCGATCAGAAAGGTCGGCAGTTCAGCGGTTCAGATCCCTAGTACAGGTCTCCTGCGTGAGCAGGGGGTTGGACTAGATGACCTCCAAGGTCCCTTCCAACTCTGTTACTGTTACTGTTACAAGATGCCTATAGTAGCCCCACATGAGATAGAGGTGGCACATAAATGTAACAAATAAACAAGGAAACAATAATTAACAACTTAACAGCCAGCCATCAACACCCTAATTAACAGCTAAAAGCTACACACAAGCAGAAGCCAGATAAATACAAAATGCATAGAACAGCCCAGGGCACATATTCTGGAGATAGAGAGAGAGAGAGAAGTTCCCTGATGATGGGCTCCATCACGAGCCCAAAAGCTTGGAAGAATAAACCTTTGGCCCTGGTGATTGACTCAGATGCTTAGCAAATATTATGGAGATTTTGGATGCTTAGCAAATGTTACGGAGATTTCCAGTCATCCAAGTCATTGTTGTCCCAAAGGTGCTTTTTCAAAAGACAACTGGATTTTATTTTTCCTTGACGATGTTTTGCTTCTCATCCAAGAAGCTTCTTCAGTTGACTGAAGTGAAGACAGAACTCAAGAAGCTTCTTGGATGAGAAGCGAAACATCTTCAAGGAAAAACGAAGTCCAGTTGCCTGTTGAAAAAGCATCTTCGGGACATCCTTAACAAATAGAATTTCACACATAAACATGGCAAAACCAATTATTCTGACAACTCTGTCAGGACATTATTTCTATGAATGTGTCAGATTATTATTGAAGCATGAAGAGCGGAGTTCTTGAGCCTACCGTTGTCAGCTGCCAGGAACGTGGCTTCGTAGACATTGTTCTTAACGTAGGCTGACTCGCGATCAAGGACAGCTGCCGTGATGATCTGACCGTTTGTGGCATTAATATTCAGCCAATTGGCAGGATCGGACAACTTGGAATATCTGCAGAAGCAAGGAAAAAACCTAGGAGTCCAGTGAGAAGTCCCTAATGCCAATTGAAAATAACCTTACGCTAGGACACAGTTCAGAGCGGTGTTTCCCCCAACCTTTCTGGGTTGGTGGCCCAGCGTGGGAGGAAGGTGGGAAGAGGGGCTGTATGTCAACTCTGAAGTGAACCTGGCTGGGGCCATTTTGGAGGCTTCAGGGTTGCCTCAATGTGAAGAAAGGATAGGGAGGGGGAACATAGTTAGATGGGGGGTTTTGTAGCCAAAACAAAATAGTTTCCTGTGGGAACCAAGGACATTCTGACTGTTGTGGTCCACCAGCAGCCTGCGGAGCTGGCAGCGGAGTCGGACAGTGAGGAGGCTGGGGAGGACAATGGGCCAGTCCTGGAGTCAGGGAAAGGCCTGGATGAGGGCTCTGCGTCAGAGGCAGAGATGGGGCCAGGGCCATCTGGGAGTGATGTGCGGACTCCGGAGCCTCCAGAGACGGACAGCAGAGAGGCAGAGGAACAGGAGGAGTCTGTTCCTAGTGCAGGCATGTGAAAAGCTGCCAGAAGGCAAGAGCAGCTGAAGAAAAAAGGATAACTCGGGAGTAAGGCCAGAAGATGATTGGCCCCTCCCAGAAGGCTTAAAAGAGTAGCAGTGAGCCGTTGGGTTCTTTGTAGAAAAGCAACGTTGATTCCCGTGCTTCTTGTCAGCATCTCTTGAACTTTGTGGGGTTTTTGCCAAGAAAAGCCTTTGGCAGATTGCCAAAGACATCAAAGGTTGGTGATAAGGCCGACGTACTGGTAATTAAGAATTTTGTTTTGGACTAAGCTGAGAATGAATTAATTCTCAGCTGTTTTAATAAAATAAGTTTGTTGAGGACTGAATTGTGTTTGGTAATCACTACTTGGGCCTTGGTCACAACACCAACAGGTGGCTGGAGGAAGGAGGGGTGAAGTAACCAAGCAACCGGCCAGCACCTTGATTGGACAAAATGTGACTGATTGTTTGGGGGAAGGGGGAGCTTTCACTTTTGAATCAGGTGAAAATGGCGGGAACTTTCAGAGTCGGTTTTCACCAGTTTGTGCCAGTACAACATCTCCCATAAAACCGTTCTTTGAGGAATCTGCCTGCCTCAGAGTTCTGCTTTCTATGGGGCTATTATTGGAACCTTGACAGGATGGTTTTGCATGAGGGGCAGGCGTGTGCACAAACAGCTTCATTTGTGTGAGTGGGAATGCAAACGCCGGTGGCTACTGTGAGGGGGACTATACGGCCCAGTTGTGAATAGGCTACAGCCCAGTTGTAGACTACGGCCCATAGTTTGGGGACCCCTGTTTTAGAGTGCTGAACCTTTCAGCCAACCATATCTTAGCTCAGCATGCAGTATTCATAGTTTACAGGGTCAATGGAATCAACCACCGTAGAGTCTACACTGATTTGAAGGCACATAATCCATCTGTCCTCCCAACCAGATGTCCATCTAGCTATCCAGCCAGCCAGCCAACTGTCCATCCACCCATCCAGTCTTGTGTAGAAGGCTATGTATACTGTATGTATTCTGGTGTGTAAGACTGCTCTGTCTGTGCATTGTTTTCTTCATAAAAATTGCCCATAATTGCCAAAGATGAAAGGCAGATGTGATTTTTTTTTCTGAGTAAACAACAGGTGGGAATTACAAAATGGATCAAGAAAATAGTGCATGCCTTTCTACCTGACCCAAACAAACTGGCAGCTCCCAAACTCATAAATATTTGTCTATTGTTAAATTTATGCCACAACTTTATGTTTATGTAAACATTCCAAGTGGCTTACAGTGTCTGTGTGTCTGTGTGTCTGTGTGTCTGTGTGTGTGTGTGTCTGTCTATCTATCTATCTATCTATCTATCTATCTATCTATCTATCTGTGATAGGCAGGCAGATAGATATAAATCGTGGGTGTCAAACTCACGATGTCACGTCATCATGTGATGTATCATGACTTTCCCCCCATTCGCTAAACCAGGGGTGGGCGTGGCCAGTGCATGATGCATCCAGTCCATGGGCCGCAAGTTTGACATCCCTGATATAGATCGATAAAAGATAAATAGAGGATAGGAGCTAGAAGCTAGAGAGATAATAGATAGATAGATAGATACCCTGTTTCCCCAAAAATAAGACATCCCCTGATAATAAGCCCAATTGGGCTTTTGAGCGCATGGCAAGAAGGCCAAATGCTTATTTCAGGGTTCAAAAAAATATAAGACAGGGTCTTATTTTTGGGAAAACACGCTAGATAGCTAGATAGCTAGATAGCTAGATAGATACTCTGTTTCCCCCAAAATAAGACACCCACCCCCTGATAATAAGCCTAATCGGGCTTTTGAGTGCATGGCAAGAAGGCCAAGTGTTTATTTCAGGGTTCAAAAAAATATAAGACAGGGCCTTATTTGGGGGGAAACATGATAGATAGATAGATAGATAGATAGATAGATAGATAGATAGATAGATAGATAGGCTTACAGTGTCTGTGTGTCTGTGTGTCTGTGTGTCTGTGTGTGTGTGTGTCTGTCTATCTATCTATCTATCTATCTATCTATCTATCTATCTATCTATCTGTGATAGGCAGGCAGATAGATATAAATCGTGGGTGTCAAACTCACGATGTCACGTCATCATGTGATGTATCATGACTTTCCCCCCATTCGCTAAACCAGGGGTGGGCGTGGCCAGTGCATGATGCATCCAGTCCATGGGCCGCAAGTTTGACATCCCTGATATAGATCGATAAAAGATAAATAGAGGATAGGAGCTAGAAGCTAGAGAGATAATAGATAGATAGATAGATACCCTGTTTCCCCAAAAATAAGACATCCCCTGATAATAAGCCCAATTGGGCTTTTGAGCGCATGGCAAGAAGGCCAAATGCTTATTTCAGGGTTCAAAAAAATATAAGACAGGGTCTTATTTTTGGGAAAACACGCTAGATAGCTAGATAGCTAGATAGCTAGATAGATACTCTGTTTCCCCCAAAATAAGACACCCACCCCCTGATAATAAGCCTAATCGGGCTTTTGAGTGCATGGCAAGAAGGCCAAGTGTTTATTTCAGGGTTCAAAAAAATATAAGACAGGGCCTTATTTGGGGGGAAACATGATAGAATAGATAGATAGATAGATAGATAGATAGATAGATAGATAGATAGATAAAGATTGGTAGGCAGGCAGGCGGACAGATAGGTATCAATGCAGTATAATTAGTATAATCTATAATTAGATATATCTGCTCATCCAGGAAGTTAGTAAAATTGATAGCTGTGCATTTCTGGATTGGATTAGCATTTTTGCCTGACATTTAAAGTTTTTTTTTTTTTTTAATTAAGATTGTTAAAAAGTTAAACTTTTTGTAATATTGTAATTGTGGGTTGTTGTTTTTTCTTGTTCAGTAATTCTTTGTACCTTGTTTTGGGCTCATTTTAAAAATGAAAATGAAAAAAAAAAAAGCCAGGTTCATCTTGTATGATCAATCAGTGCTACATTGATTTAGCTGGTGGCTGGTTCACTGCATTCCATTGAGTCACCTCTAAGCTGGTCCAGGTGTAGTAGAGAAATGAGGCTCCCTGTTGAAGGACCACTCATTGCAGAACAATGAAGAAAAATGGCCTTGTTAGCTATGACATTCCCTTCCATCCTTAAAATTTCCACTGCCTGTTCGTGCCAACAAGCAGAGGCAATGAGTAACCATTGTCCTTTTTGCACCAGACAGCTTTATCCCCCTTGAAATATCTCATCCCTTGAATGATTATGAAATGTCACAAGTGATGTAAGTTTAATTGGCCCCAGTGCTAGTTCTACGGGGCGCCTTCCTACGGTGCCAAATTTATCTAACGTTTGCAATAAAGGAACAGACAGATAACCAGCGAGACCAAGAGACAAAGGAGGATAACTTAAATTTCCTTTTTTTCCTAGGCAATGTTCAATGCACAGGTCCACACAACCAACTGGGATTTAAATGTACTGAATGTTCAAAATATGGCAGGTCTGTGATTATGCTTACAGCCGCTCTCTTAACTGTTACTGGAAATAAGCAGAATTTAGGGATAGCTCATTTATAAAGTTATTTTTTAAAATACATGTACATCCAAAAATGTAATGTGTGAATCAGAGAAACACGAGGTGGCGCAGTGGTTAGAGTGCAGTACTGCAGCTACTTCAGCTGACTGCTAGTTGAGCAGATCAGCAGATCAAATCTCACCGGCTCAAGGTTGACTCAGCCTTCCATCCTTCCGAGGTGGGTAAAATGAGGACCCAGATTGTTGGGGGCAATATGCTGATGCTAATGCAATATGCTATATGCTAACTTTGTAAACCGCTTAGAGAGGGCTGTAAAGCACTATGAAGCGGTATAGAAGTCTAAATAAAAATAAAAAATAAAATAAAATAAATAAAAACACTTGCGTGGGAACATAGGACTCACGCAAATTGTAGAGCATAATTAATCAGACACTTTGACATTCATTTTATCAAGCACTGGACCAAGCAACAGAAGCAAAAATGTAGAATTTGTGCGTGACCCTTTAAAGCAGCTGCATCTTATCCCAGGATCATGCCTTTTAGAGATGGAATTTGAACCAATACCAAGGTTCAAAACAGTGATAATTGCAGCCATGATGGTGCAATGAAAGCTCATTCATTTTGTGTGTGTGATGCACATTAAAAAAAGGCTGGTGCATCATTGGGACTAGTGCCTTGACTTTTTTTTTAAACCAAACACTGCAGAACTCTCTGACCACTACACAACCCTACTTTCTTATCTGAGTCCAGACTATTGTTCCATCTATTCCAGAACTGAGTGTCAACAGTGCCTGTCAATCTAGGTTTTGAGCAGAAATTTGCCCACATTTGCTTGGCAATGTCAGGGACTGAACCTCAAATTTGCTTGGCAATGTCAGGGACTGGTCATATGAAACTGAAGCCTAACCACTAAGCTGTTAATCCTTCCTGTGGGAGAATTTTGCATGGCCAGGTGTTTCCAATGATACAGACTTGCCAGTGAAAAATAAGATGGAATGGATCTCAGTAATTATTTAATTCCAAAATTTCCTTTTCAAACAGAGTTGCTAAATAAAACAGCAGCACAGTTCCATGCTGGATTGAGGCAGTAAACAGACTAAACTGTAATGTAAGCTCCAAGCTCTTATCTGTCAGGTCCTTGGTGTTCTCTGAGCTTGGTGGTTTTCTTGTGGATATTTCATTACCAAACTAGGTAACATCACTAGCACTGATGACATTGCCTAGTTTGGTAATGATTTATTTATTTATTTATTTATTTATTTATTTATTTATTTATTTATTTAATTTGTATACCGCCCTTCTCCCAGAGGGGACTCAGGGTGGTGAACAGCCAAAATTAAAAAACATACAAATACAAAAGTTAAGATAATGAAAAAAGAATTAAATCATTAGCTTCCCAATTTAAAACCCCCAAGTCCATAAAATTTTAAATCCCAATTAAAAACCATTTAGGCTAGGCTGGCTTGGTGGAATAAAAACGTCTTCAGGGCTTTACGGAAGGTCCGGAGGTCCGGGATCAATCGTATTCCAGGAGGCAGCTCGTTCCACAGGCGGGTGCCCCCACAGAGAAGGCTCTCCCCCTGGGGGCCACCAGCCGACATTGCCTGACCGACGGCACCCTGAGGAGGCCCTCTCTGTGAGAGCGTATTGGCCGGTGGGAGGTTATCGGTAGCAGCAGGTGGTCTCGCAAATATCCTGGCCCTAAGCCATGGAGCGCTTTAAAGATGAGAACCAACACCTTAAAGCGCACCCGGAAGACCACCAGGAGCCAATGCAGCTCGCGCAGGAGAGGTGTTATGTGGGAGCGCCACGTCGCTCCCATAATCACCCACGCAGCCGCATTCTGCACCAGTTGGAGCCTCCGGGTGCTCCTCAAGGGGAGCCCCATGTAGAGAGCGTTGCAGTAGTCCAGGCATGACGTGACCAGGGCATGAGTGACCGTGCACAAGGTCTTCAAGAAAGCCACCAAGCTCAGAGAGCTGCAAGGACCCTGCAGTTTAATCCTGGGCTACAAACATTGTCTTCTGTAAGTTTCTTATCTAAAGACCAACTGAACCCAACCCAACCCAACCCAACCCCAATACATGTGTGTACCATGGTTCCACCTATTTTACATCCTTTCTGGTTAAATGTGGTTCACAGGTATTCAAAGCTTGACAACCTTCAAAAATAGAGAACTCTACCTTCCACCATCATACCTGATAGCCTGTTGCATGAAGCGGTCAGGGTCCACTGCGGAAAAAGTCATGAGGGCTGTCCCCGTAGGCACACCCTCTTCCAGCCTGATGAGTTTGTGGTTTGTTGGGAAGTAGGGTGGCTCATTGACATCAGTGACTGAAATGGTGACTCCGGCTGTAGACTGGAAGGACATTTGGATCCCACTGGCAAGGGGAGCTTGATTGGACACCATCACCGTCAACATAAAAGCTCGGTTCATCTCATAATCAACTTCCTGAAATCAAAGAGAGGCATGGGGGAGACATGATCACTCGGTATTCTATGGTCTTATGTTTGTTTAGGTATTGACCAGAATGCTCGATTGGTTTTATAAGGAAGAAGCAATGGTGGGATTCAAATAATTTAACAACTGGTTCTCTGCCCTAATGACTGGCTGAGTGGGCATGGCCATGGTGGGTGTGGCCAGGGGGTGTTACAGGCAGCACTTGGCCTCCTGCACCCCCCTGGGAGCAAAAATAGGCCGTGGGAGGGGTGCCGCTCCCAGCACCTTGTTTTGGGCCTAGCAGGCCTCCCTGCAGCCTCCTGGGAGCAAAAACAGGAGTCGACCCTCCCCCTGGTGCCCCGTTTTGGACCTAGTAGGCCTCCCTGCAGCCTCCTGGGAGCAAAAACGGGCCATGGGATGGCCATGCCACACACCCCTGCACCCTATTTTGGTCCTAGTAGGCCTCCCTGCAGCCCCCTGGGAGCAAAAACGGGCCATGGGGGGACTTCTGGAAGAGGCGGGGCAGGGTCAGTCAGCAATTTAACAACCGGTTCAGCCGAAGAGGTGCGAACTGGTTGAATCCCACCACTGGAAAGAAGTAATTCTGATGGTTCAGGTGATATTGTGTGCTAAGGCAGGCCTGTTCCTTGACTAGCTAGTTGAAACTAGGAAAAACAAGAGTCCAATGACATTTTAGAGGAATCTTCCGGGGGAATATGGCTAACTGAACACACGCACGGGGAGAGATCTCCGAAGGATTTCTCCCTGGAGTTTTGCTCTGCTACTTTTTAACTGAAAGGACTGATATCCCATTAGTTTTTATGACCCACTCGGTTAGGGTGTGTCGAAGAACTTCCCCTCAGGACTCTTCAATACAGCTGTAAACTGGCAGATTGCTTTTGGAGTTGAAATCCGAAGCTGGCTGCATGCCATAAGATGGGAGGGGAGGGGCTGCAATCTGTTCGGGGGGGGGTCAAAGAAGCCGTCCATTTTGAAATTCATTTTTCAAACAGACAGTAAGTTATGCCTTCCTTTCTTAATCTCCTTCGAAGACTGTTATTCTATCTTAAATCAACATAATAAAGGCTCTTCCTAGCAACAGGGCAGGCCTGTTTCTTGACTAGCTAGCTGAAACTAGAAAAAACAAGAGTCCAATGGCATTTTGAGGAATCTTCTCAAACCTGGCACTTTGCAACTGGATTGGGATTGCAAATTTAAGAACTCGGAGTTCTATCCCATCTGATCTGAAGGATATAGAAGTTTGAAAAGTCTTGAAAAATTATGGGTCGCCAACGCTAATGATTTCTTTTCCAGTGCAATGAGGATATTATTTTGTCCAAAAATCAAAACTAAAACTCTAATTATCATACTTTTTACTGCTGATGCAGTAAAAAAGCCTTTGTACCTATCTATTGACTGTCGGTATAAACTCATGGAAACACAAAAGATGAATGGTAAGACATCGTTTTTTTAAAAAAATCCTGCATTGAGTACTGAATGCAAGGGCTGTAGACCAATTAAATATGCCACTGAGTTGTGTTCAAGGTAGCTTCTTCATAGAGAGGCACACTGTAACAATCCATTTGTGAGTAGACTGAGACACATGTGGTCCTTGGAAGAGCCACTTGGTTTAAGAATGGGTGCAACTGATGTACAAGATGAATTGGTGAAAAGGCCTTCATGGTCATAGTGGCCACCTGTGACTCCATCCAAGTCTCAAGATGGAAAGTGACTGGACTTGCAGGTCCTATATACCCGTTGACCAAGGGTGAAATCCAGCAGGTTCTGACAGGTTCTGGAGAACCGGTAGCAGAAATGTTGAGTAGTTCGGAGAACTGGCAAATACCACCTCTGGCTGGCCCCAGAGTGAGATGGGAATGGAGATTTTGCAATATCCTTTCCCTGCCACGCCCACCAAGCCATACCACGCCCACCAAGCCATGCCCATAGAACCGATAGTAAAAAAAAATTGGATTTCACTGCTGCCATTGACACAATCTTGTTAGAATTGAACCTGAGTCTATTCCATCCATCTGGACCCTTAACAGCCTTTAGAAAGTGAAATAAGACATTAACAACATTGTGTAGGCAGCCTGGTCATGAAGTACAACTTGGTGTTGTAGGCATATTGAAGATCCCTGTTGTCAAGCTAATGGATGACCTCACAGAGATAGTTTCATGTCGATGTTAAATAAAATAAGGCCTGAAGTCTTGATGTTTTCCCTGCTGTCAACACCTACTGGAACTGATCACACAAAAAGGAAACCCACCACTATCTAGTGCTCCCTGCTCCCATTCCCCACAGTTGATCCAAAAGGATATCATGATTTGACAGAATGATGGGAGATCAAGGAGAACTAAGATGGCTGGATGCACCACCCCTGTCCTGGGTCTCCTGAAGATCACCAACAAGCACAATCAATGTTACCTGTGCATTATGCCCCAGTCTGAAGCCCAACTGAAGCGACAGATTGTAGTTATAAAGTGGTGGAAATTGTAATGATAATCAGAAAGGGCAACCCTTTGTACTGTACTTTTAGATATCAGACAAGTAAAATCCATCCATCCATCCATTAATGAAAAGAAGGACTAGGGGAGACATGATAGCAGTGTTCCGATATCTCAGCTGCCACAAAGAAGAGGGAGTCAAGCTACTCTTGAAAGCACCTGAAGGCAGGACAAGAAGCAACAGGTGGAAACTAATCAAGGAGAGAAGCAACTTAGAAGTAAGGAGAAATTTCCTGACAGTTAGAACAATGAATCAGTAGAACAACTTGCCTGCAGAAGTTATAAATGCTCCAACACTGGAAGTTTTTAAGAAGATGTTGGATAACCATTTGTCTGAAGTGGTGTAGGGTTTCCTGCCTAAGTAGGGGGTTGGACTAGAAGACCTCCAAGGTCCCTTCCATCTCTGTTATTCTATTCTATTCTATTCTATTCTATTCTATTCTATTCTATTCTATTCTATCCCATCCCATCCCATCCCATCCCATCCCATCCCATCCCATCCCATACATACATACATACATACATACATACACACACTCTCACCCTGGCCTCCAAGCTTTCCTCATATGAATCTATGGCTTGATATAAACTTGCTAGTGTCACATTCAAACAGAGGAGTAACAATTAAGTTAGCACTCTCTAATACTTATTAGATCACCTCTCAAGAAGCCAGAATAGCATTGTTAATTCTGGCACCGAGGGTAGCAAATGAAACATTGCTGGAAGGCTTTTAAGCGAGAATAGCTTACTGCAAGTAAAACGTTAGGAGAGTGCTTAAAAGAAGGATCTATATACAGCCTTGCAAAGAGCTATCCAAACAGAATTTGCTGAAATAATTAGATTCAGGACACTGAATCAAAGACAGAAGTTTTATAACTTAATATGGAAGGAACCACTGCGACTGGTTCATTCCATGACTGGTTCACAGCAATGGACTCACTTTTTAGTACCTTCAGAAAGGCCGTTATTTTCTGAGATATCAGAAGATAAAGGCTTCTTCAATTTCAAATGTACAGGTAGTTCTCCACTTACAGTGGTTCATTCAGTGACTGTGCAAAGCTACAACGGCACTGAAAAAAGTGACCTATGACTGTTCACACTTACAGCCCTTGCAGCATCCCTGTGGGTCACGCGATTGGCAACTGACTCATATTTATGACCGTTCCAGTGTCCCAAGGTCACGTGATCACTTTTTGTGACTTTCTGACAAGCAAACTCAATTGGGGAAACTGGATTTACTTAACAACCATGTGATTAGTTTAACACTGCGGCGATTCACTTAACAACCATGGCAAGAAAGGTTGTAAAATGGGGGAAAAATCACTTAACAATGGTCTTGTTGAATGTCAGAAATATTGGGCACAATTGCGGTCATAAGTCAAGGACTACCTGTATTGGGATGCATAACCCAGGAAGGGAGAGCCCTTAAGTTTCAGTGGGATGAGACCAGAGGTGAGTTTCAGCAAGTTCTGATCAGTTCTGGAGAACTGGTAGCAGAAATTTTGAGTAGTTTGGAGAACCGGTAAATACTACTCTGGCTGGCCCCGCCCCCATCTATTCTCTGCCTCCTGAGTCCCAGCTGATCGGGAGGAAATGGAGATTTTACAGTATCCTTCCCCTGCTATGCCACCAAGCCACGCCTACCAAGTCATGCCATGCCACTCCCACCAAGCCACGCCCACAGAACTGGTAGTAAAAAAATCTGAATCCCACCACTGGACGAGACACCAACTTTCTCTTCTCTTTATGGAGGAAAAGCAATCTGCTCTTTCTAGATTTGGAGAGATCAATAACCTTTTAAGCAAGAGGAATGAAGAGGGTTCATATTTCTGAACACATTGTTTTTCTTGTTTGCATTTGCTTGTAGACAAAAAAATGATTGCTACAAGTTACGTGTTGCTCAGCTAAAGGATTTGATGGCGTTCGTTAGATGAAGTTAACTGTGTTTATGCTAGCCAGGTTGTATTTAGGTTCAACGAACTGATGAACTGCATTGTTTTTAATTTTAATAAATTATTTTAATTCTTCTAATATGGGCGATTAAAGATTGACCTTAATCATCCATTAGGGGGCAGGATGGCTCAGCAGTTAAAGACGCTGAGCTCGTCAGCTGGAAAGCTGACACCCTAGTGTTTGAGACCCGGGTACCATGAAATGGGGTGAGTTCCCCTTTCATGCCTCAGCTTCTGCCCACCTAGTAGTTTGAAAGCATGCAAATGCAAGTAGGTACACTTTGGTGGGAAGGTAACAGTGTTCCATGTACCTCGGCAGATTGTCATGCTGAGCACATGATCACGGAAATGTCTTTAGACAATGCTGGTGCCCTCGGCTAAGAAATGGAGATGTGCACAGCCCCATCCTTAATCATCCATTATCAATCTACAGACCTTGTAGTGTTTTTACTTTGCTTTATGTTTAGATTATATCTCCAAAAATTTAGAAGAACCTTTCCTAACTGACTCCTAATTTGGAAACGATCATCGTAGTTACTTAAGCAGTACATA